TTCGAACAACATGGGAAAAATGAGCAAACCCAAGCTTAATGCTGCCAACAAAAAAGAAGATTTTACTCGCATCACATTCAAGCCTGATCTCAGCAAATTTGGTATGACGGAAATTGATGCAGATACCGAGGCACTGCTCATTAAACGTGTCTATGATTTGGCTGGAAGCGTTAAAAATATAAAGGTGTTTCTGAATGGGGAGAGAATTATCGTGAAGAATTTCAAGCAATATTGTGAGTTGTATTTTAAAGGAGAGATGGCCGATAGAGAGACGAAACCAACTCTTATTTATGAGAACGTTAATGATCGATGGGAGGTTGGTGTTTGCGCCAGCGATGGGCAGTTTCAACAGGTGAGCTGGAAACTGGCTTAACAATTCGGCTATAATATAAGAATATTACACTTTCTCATTAATGATGTGATTCTGATTGCAAGGTCAGCTTCGTCAACAGTATCTGCACAACAAAAGGTGGCACACATGTTAACTATATCACAGATCAGCTAGTTCGCGAGATAACAGAATCCATAAAGAAGAAGATGAAGCAGGCGAATATACCAAAACCTGCTCAAATTAAAAACCATCTCTGGGTTTTTGTAAATTGTCTGATTGAGAACCCGAGTTTCGATTCACAGACAAAGGAGACTCTGACTTTACAACGAAATTCTTTTGGAAGTACTGCTTCGCTGAGCGAAGAATTTGTTAAAAAAGGTGAATTAATAAAAGGCTGTTTCCTAGATGCGTTTTGTATTACATATAACTAGAGCGTAACCGTCTACATATTCAATCTTAGTACTCAAAACCGATATAGTTGAAAGTCTCGTCAACTATATGAAAGTCAAACAAGAACAACAACTTCGCAAAACCGATGGCCATAAACGCTCACGCGTTAGCGGTATCACTAAACTAGACGACGCTAATCATGCCGGTACCCGATTTGGTGCAAATTGTACTTTGATTCTTACAGAAGGGGATTCGGCGAAAACGTTGGCTGTTAGTGGGCTGTCAGTAGTGGGAAGGGATAGTTATGGAGTATTTCCCTTAAGGGGAAAGCTGCTGAACGTGAGGGATGCTAATTTGAAACAGGTGTTTGAGAACCAAGAATTGAACCACATTAAACAAATATTGGGGCTACAGCATGCGAAAGAATATACGAGTACCGATAGCTTACGATACGGACGTCTTATGATTATGACTGATCAGGTGCTATTACGAGAAGAATAGAATTATGTAAGATTGCCAGCTGGAGATCGTATTTAAATAGTAACCCCATTTTTTATATCGATTAGGATCATGACGGCTCGCATATCAAAGGGCTGATTATTAACTTCTTGGATCACTTCTATCCATCCCTATTGAAGTTGCCTGGATTTCTTTTCGAGTTTATAACACCAATCGTAAAGGTATCCTATCTCACAATATTCATCGTAGCATTCTTCCATATGCTCCATGGAACAAAGACCCAAGGTTTGCCTCGATTAACAATTTAATATTTGATTTGATTTCATCAGGCAACAAAAGGCAAATCGCGGGAAATTAGTTTCTACACAATACCTGAATACGAAACATGGAAAGCAGCTAATAATAATGGTAAAGGCTGGATTATCAAATATTACAAAGTAAGCACTTATTATATTGTTGCAGCGTTGGTAGACATGTGTTAAAAGAAAAACGCATAATCCCTGTTGCTTATATCATTTCCCAATAGGGGTTGGGTACAAGCACTGCCGAAGACGCCCGTAAGTATTTCTCCAAGATGGACCAGCATCGAAAACCGTTTACATCTGCTGATGAAGACGATCATCGACTGATCGATATGGCCTTCAATAAGAAGCGAGCGGATGATCGGAAACAATGGCTGGCGAACTTTACGGTTAGCATATTTGTATCGTGACAAAACTCTACAAATTGAACATACTAGTTAAAAGATTTTTAACTCGTTAATTATATTTTAACGCCGGCAATGTTTAGCCTGGGACGTTCATGGATCATAGTACAGACGAAATTCAAATCAAGGATTTTATAAACAAGGAACTTATATTATTCTGTAAGTTTCATATTTAACTTACTATGTACAATTGCTTACCTTGATTTTAACGGAAATTCAACAATGCATTTTCTTGTCATCAAAGCAATGGCAGATAATATTCGTTCCATTCCTAGTGTCGTCGACGGACTAAAACCAGGACAGCGAAAGATTCTGTTTAGCTGTTTCAAACGTAATCTCAAAGGAGAAATGAGAGTTGCTCAACTGACCGGTAAGACTATGAAATGCCAGCGATTTTATTGTTTCATCTGAAAGCTTTCTTACGATGCATGATTAACTACAAAGTCTTGCTTTAATATTTAATAGGCTATGTCGCCGAACATTCCGCCTACCATCACGGGGAACAGAGTTTGTCTTCAACCATCGTTGGGCTGGCTCAAGATTACGTCGGCAGTAATAACATCAACCTTTTGGTGCCTGCTGGATGTTTTGGTACTCGGCTACAGGGTGGAAAGGATGCTGCTAGTCCTCGTTATATATTCACGGGTTTGTCAGAGTTGGCAAGGAAGATATTCAGAAAGGAGGATGATGCATTATTGACTTACTTGAACGAGGATGGACAATCAATCGAACCCGAATGGTAGGTGATTACAAAGTACAGAGAAGTTGCGGATTATTGGTACACGTTTATTAAAAAAGACTTTTCTAATAGGTACTTGCCTATACTACCAATGATTCTGGTCAATGGTGCCGAAGGCATTGGCACTGGGTGGAGCTGTAAGCTACCTAACTATAACCCGGAAGACATCGTAAATAATTTATTGCGTAAAATGCGGGGTGAGGAATATGAAAAGATGCATCCATGGTATAGAGGATTTAAAGTACGTTCAACGCACACTCAGCATGTTGTTTTATCATTCCTCTTGAACAATTGTGTCGGGATAAATGATACTCCTTGTGAATTGAGGTCAAGACTAATACAAGTTCCTTATTCGACGTAGGGCGAGATTGTTGAGGAATCTGAAGGCTCGTATAAAGTAACAGGAATTATCCAACAGATTAGCAACACTTCTCTCGAAATAACAGAACTGCCCATTGGTGTATGGACACAGTCTTACAAGGAATTGCTCGAGGAATTTATGACAGGCTCAGATAAAGGAAAGAAAGAACCATTTATCAAAGTAAGTTTATTGTCTATCGTAGAGACGCGCAATTTGTTTCATCCATATAATTAGAAATTTGTTTTGAACAGGATTATAAAGAGTATCACACAGATACTTCGGTTCACTTTGTTGTAAATTTGACAGAGGAAAATATGAAAAAAGTGTTAGAGGAAGGCTTGGAAAACAAGTTCAAACTGAGCAAGACATTTAAGACTACGAATATGGTTCTGTTTAATTCGGAACTGAAGATCACTAAGTATGCTACCATTAATAAAATTATGGATGATTTCTACAAGTTGCGATTGGAATATTATGAAAAGCGCAAGGTTAGTAGAATATTGCTATAATTGGAATCTGCTTTATGAGATCACTTTCTAATTCCTTGATTCCACGCTTTCTATTCTTCATGTATATTAGGAATGGCTTGCGTCCGAGCTGAGTAAAGGTTGTGAACAACTTGAGAACAAAGTACGATTTGTTACAGAAATTATTGAAGGCAAACTAATAATACAAAACCGAAAGAGAAACGTTATAATTCGTACACTCAAGGAACGTGGCTATAGCGCATTCTTTGAGAATTCGGAAGTCAAAGAATCCGATGAAGAGGACAATTCGACCGCAACTGCCAACGATGTGGAAGGATTCGGTTATCTGCTAAATATGTCTATTTGGCATTTGACATGGGAAAAAGTATGAGAATGATTAAGCTTTGCGTATTGATAGTGAATCGGTACAATTGAATTCATTATCTACAATCTGTTCATCTTAATACAGGTCGAGCAATTAAAGAAAGAGCGAGACGTCAAGCAAAACCAGCTTGACATATTAAAGAACAAATCACCGCAAGATTTATGGAAAGAAGATTTGGAAGAATTCGTAATCTCCTGGAAAGAGATGGATGCCAAAAAAGCAGAAGATTCTTCAAGCGGTAAGGGTAAGAAGCCCGCGAAATCTTCACCCAAAAAACGTACCGTCAAGAAACCAGCACCAGCACCACCTGCAAAAGTTATTCTATTGGAGGATTCTGATAAAGATTATACAGTGTGTAAGAAAAATTCGCGTAAACTTAAACCCGCGTAATTTTTCCAAAAATAAACAAAATCACGTAAACTTGATCACGAAAAGGCTCTTTATTTTTCATTAATAGCGTAATTGTCATATTTTCAATAAACGACAAGCTCCCAATTGAAAACTCAACAAGAAACTATATTACACTTTTGGCATTCGTTCTGCTAAAGACATCACAAAAGCGACAAAGATACCAATGTACAATGCGGACCATCAATAATAACTTCAAAAAAGTTGACAATGTAGACCAAAAAAAGGAGCTGGTCGACCTAAGAAAAGTACCCCTAATGTTGCATGGTGCAGCATGTGGCGTTACAGGATAAAGTCGAAAATGTTCCTTTTTATACAGGTTATCGTTATACACATTATTGTCCTTTTGCCAAAAAAGCAAGCTTTAACTTTGAGATTATCAACATAGCCTCGATTTAATAGTCAGATGCATCACAGTATCCGACTTTGAGATTCGACTTTGAGATATGATCTAGTCTTTCATCGTCCGTTGAACAAACTCTCATCATATCCATGTGCTTGCCGCAGGGCTCGTCATCCAATTTTGATTACCTTAATATAAAGCTTATTATTGCTCAAAACTATGAGAAAGGTGCATTCCAATAGATTGAGTTTAATAATATTGCAAAGTACTGTATGTCTACATTACACGACCTATTATTATGCATTGTGTTATATGTTTATTTACGCCACAAACTGGAAAATAGGCCGCAGTCATGTTTTAGGGAGCTTGTCGTTTATTGAAAATATTACAAAGTAAGCACTTATTATATTGTTGCAGCGTTGGTAGACATGTGTTAAAAGAAAAACGCATAATCCCT